AAAAAAAAAAAAAAAAAAAAGTAGGCAACATAAGTCTACTCTTTAGAAATACAGTGGTAAGTGCCAAAATGAACCAGCCAAGAGTTTTAAGTGGTCAAACAAAGGAACCTATTTCAACACTCTGTAACTTTCATAAAAAAATAAAAACATATAAGGGCTGGGGATGCAGCAGAGTGGCAGAGAGCAAGGCTGGATTCCTAACACCTCCCAGTTATATGTACTATTGTACTTTACACAGTCCCTGAGCTTTCAATGTGACGTCACACTTACTCTATACCTGACATTTCCTTGCTTACCTGTCACCTGTCTCACTGTCTAGAAGAGCCACAGCATTTTGAGGATTCCAGCTTCCCAAAGCATCACAGCTTCCACATATTGCAAAAACTTCTCCTAAAGAAACAGAACAATTAAGTCTTTTCCTAAGTAGGAAAGTTTCAATTTCAGTTTTAGGAAACAAAAAAGAGCAGGCGAGCTAGTTCAACCAGACACAGTGTCTCCCTTAGCTGAAATGCAAGAGCCTCATGAGAGACAGGGTGGGATGCAGGGATCTCACTGGCACCCTCATCCAGCCCTAGTCCCGCCACCGGGGCAGCTTCCAATTTACAGGGACAGAGGCTAAATTCCTAGAGGTATTCTAGAGAAACGTTAATCAGTATTTTCCAAGAATTCAAACAATGTCTATTAACATGCTAAAGATCAAAAACATTATCAAAGCTGGATGTGGTGGTGCATCCTGTGATCCCAGAAGTTGGGGAGGCTGAGGCAGGAGGAATAAAAGGTTGTGCTGAGCATAAACAACCTAGCAGATCCACTCTCAGAATAAAAATAAAATATGGCCTGGGGTGTAGCTCAGTGAGAAGGCCCTGGCTTCAATCCCTAGTACCGCAATAAACAAACAGACACACAAACAAAAAATAACAGCAATAATTAAAAATTCATCAAAACAGAATGATGTGTCTAAAAATCTAGTACTCCTTACTAAAATAATGACTATAGTTTCATATGAACACTTCTTACCAACAGACTTTATAAAAGCCAACACATGGCTACTACCTATACTTGCTAAATTATGTATATTTAGCAAAACTCCATATCTTAAATATAAGCATGCAGAACTCCTATCATTAAAAGGAATTTTGCCGGGCATGGTGGCGCACGCCTATAATCCCAGCACTCGGAGACTGAGACAGGAGGATCGCTGTGAGTTCGAGACCAGCCTGGGCTACATAGTGAGTTCCAGGTCAGTCTCAACTACATAGTGAGACCCTGTCTCAAAAAACAAACAAAAAAAGACAATGAAATGAGTACAAATACCAATTTGTCTCAAGGCAAACTCTTACTATTTCCTCAGAAAGGACTATGCACCTCAAGTGGAAAAATGAAACTTGGGAGAATCAGTGGTTCGTTTTCGCTTTGCTCCTATGCGCATTTGTCCTGCTGATTCCTAGGGAATATGAATTCTAATTTTTTCTGTTTTTGAGAAAGGGTCTTACTACATAGTTAAGGCTGGTCTTTAACTCATTATGTAGCCTAGGCTGGCCTGAAAGAGCAGCGATCTTCCTGACTTAAATCTCCTAAATGCTGGGATTACAGGCATGCACCATCACACACAGCAATGGGAACTTTCTACTAGAATAAACAGGCCTCTCTCTTTAGTTGGCCTTACTTATAAAAACTGTAGAGTTGCTGGGCATGGTGGTACATCCCTGGATTCCTATCACACTCTGACAGCTTGAGCAGGAGGATCACAGGTTTGAGCCCAGCATAGGCAACTTAGTGACTCAGTGAGCTCTGTCTTAAAATAAAAAAATAAGGCAACTTTACAAGATCCTCTTAATTTTAAAAATTAAAAAAGTTTGGTGATGCAGCTCAGTATGAAGGTCCTAGGCTCAATCTCCAGTAATGCGCGTGCATGCATGCATGCACACACACACACGCACGCGCACACACACACACACACACACACACTTCCCAAACTAAAACACAACAGAAATCTCAAACTCGGAAAGGGGACCAATAGATGCAGGGCAGAAGGAGAGGAGGGAAAAAGGGATGAAAAGGAGCTGGGACATGGTGTGTGCATGTGCCAGCTCCCTGCAATGAGTTATTGTGTGCTGTAGGCATATACTAATAAAATTTAAAATCTGCAAGAAAAAAAGTAAACCAAGGGGATTTATAAAAGAGCACCTCCACACACCCTTTTCACTTGTTCCCTTCAGCTCTTCCTTCCCTGTTTGTTGGATCCCATTCTCACTCAGCACACTCCCTTCTGCTGCAGTGGAGACCAAGACGAAGGAGTGCTGTGAGGAAAGTCTCCCTCAATGTGCCCTCCTTGTCCCTCTCCCTCCTCCCCTTCCCTCTAGACCCTGAGAGTGACTGCCCCCCTACTAAGGCTGACCCTGCTGAGGACTAATCTGTGGCTGGCTCCTTCTAACTTCCATATCCTTGAAGGATACAGTCAGCTCTGCAGTCTTCTCTCCCGAGCAGCCCCAGGCAGGACCAGAAGTAAGGGCTCGGTGGAAGAGCACCAATTCCTCAGCTAACCAGCGGTCTTCATGCTACAGAATCCCAGCTGAGCACATGGTACTAGCTGACTTGACCGAAAATAGCACCTTGGTGTGGAGGTGCATACCTGTGATCCAGCAACCACAGGAGCCTGTGGATTCCAAGTCTGAGCCCAGCTTTGGCAATTCTGCAACTTAGCAAGACCTTGTCTCAAAATACAGATAAAAATAAATTTCAAAAATGAGGGCTGGAGGGCAGGGGATTTAACTCAGTGGTTCGGTGGCCTGCCTTGCAAGCCCAAGGACCAGAGTTCAATCCCCGGTACCAAAAAAAAAAAAGAAAAAATAGGGCTGGGTGCAATGATGAATGTCATTCTATTGTATTCCTTAAATATACCAATAAAATTAATTTTTAAAAAATGAGAGTTGGGGATATAGCTCAGTGCAGATGCCCGGGTACTGCAGGAATGTGAACTTGGACACACACACATACACTGCCAATTGCTATTACTGTTGCTGGTTATAAAGTTCTTTGAATGCATGTTTACTATCTGACTAATCTCTGCCAAGCATTGTGCTAGGTGCAGAAATTTAGCATAAATAAGACAAGGTCATGTTTCACAGGGTTTACAAATCTGTCCACAAACGAAATCACGCAATACAGTAATTCTATAAAATCTCTAGGAGATGCCATAAAGGAGTACTGGGATCCTGGGAAAACTTCCTAAGAGACCTCACCTTTTGCAGTGTGGGTGTTTAAGGGTGAGGATGGGCACAGATTCAGGTAGAGGAAACAGAATCTGAGAAAATCTGAGAAGGGAGGGGAGGAAGAAGGAGTGCAGCAGATCTGCAGACTGCAGTGTGGTCAGTGCTGTCCAAGAACATTCAGTGTGGAAGTACACAACCCAGGTGGTACTGCTCGATACACTCTCACAGGAAAAGCGTTTCTGTACTTCAGCTGACAGTACCAACACAGCGAGGCGGAAAGAAGCCCTTAGCAGGGAGCCGTCACTGTGGCCAGATGCCTCACCAACTGCAACTCCGCACACTAACACAACTCTCTTTCTATGTTACTTTAAATCAGAACCTGTGGAAAATTAAATACACTCACAATTTTCTTGGCAAACACAAGAATAAGGCACCTGAGATTTTTTTTCTCCATGAGTTAGTTTACTATGCTTCTATCACACTTCTCATACGCAAGGGATACAAGAGCTTTTCATCTAGAAAATTAGCCCACTCTAATTAAACAACTTCATATTTAAAATAACTCAGAAAAGAAAAAACACTTGCTTCATTTAAAAAAAAAATCATTTTAACATAATCCTTTACCTGGTAAGAGAGATCCTCTTATTTCAAAGGTAACCTGAGAAGGCGTCATTCTGATGGATTTATTTTGGGATTCTTGCTAGGAAGAAACAGAAGGTTGTTACTTACAGTACATGAAGATACTAGCATCAGATGGTCACTGCCAAGAAACCATGTTAAACCAAGAACTGTTTATATGTATTTTTAAAAATGGTACAGTACATATAAAAAGAAAACAGTATTTAATGTCTATGCAGCTTTATGCTAGGTTTGCTATTTTTTAAAAACAAGGAGAGAACAGAGCCGGGGATTTAGCTCACACCTGCCTCATAGGTACAAGGTCCTGAGTTCAATCCCGAGTACAAAAAAAGGAGAGAGAATAAATAAATAAATATGAATGAAGATATGCCGGGTATACACACACTGGTAATCCTAGCACTCAGGAGGCTGAGGCAGGAGAATCAACCTGAGTTTGAGGCCAGCCTAGACTACACAGGTCGAGGCCAGCCTGAACTACACATTGCTACAGTGTCTCAGGGTAGAGGGCTGGGGATTTAGCTCAGTGGCACTGCACCTGCCTTTCAATCTCTGGTACAAAAGAAGAAGAAAAAAAAAAAGAAAGAAAACTTTTAAATTTTTTTAAAAAATAAAAATGAGGCAAACCAGGGGTGGTAATTCACACTTATAATCCCAGCACTTGAGAGGCTGAACCAGGCCAGCCACCAGGAGTTTCAGGACAACCTGGGGTTTACATAGTGAGTTCAAGGTCTGCCTTAACTATATGGTGAGACCCTGTCTCAAAAAAAAAAGAAAGAAAAAAAAAGCCTCAAAAGACAAAAAAATAAATTAATTAAATTAAAATAAAAATAAAGCAAAAAAGAAAACGAATCTCTACCATGGGCAGATTTACTTCAGAGCCCCTCTCTGTAAACTGACCATATAAATAGGGTGGGGACATTAACTGGTGCCAGAGAGTACTGCACAAAGTAACCTTACACCTTCCAGTCCTTTCTCTTTAAGAATGCGCACTGCAAAACAAAGTGTCCGTATTGTTTACAAAGTCAAAATCATAGCCTGGCATGGTGGTACTTACCTGCACTTGGGAGACTGAGGCAGGATTGCCACACCTGGGCTATGTGGTGAGTTCAAGGCCAGCCTAAAGTAGATAGTGAGACCCCACCTCTAACAAAACAAGAGTCTCTTGCCACATACTTTCTCTTATGATAAGCAGCTGCTTATCTTTCCTGACCAGGCTCATGTTATGGAAGCATTAAAAAAAAAAAGCTTGACTCAGAGGATTTCTACTTTAATGACAAGGTACCAACTTTCATAACAAGGAAAGGATCAAACAAGCACCACTCACTAAAACAAACTAGTCATGTTTTGCAACAACTTTAAGAATCTGGTTCTAAGATATAATGTAACTAACTTTTAAAAACCCTTCCTCCAGCAGGGTGTGCCTGGTAGCCCAAACCTGTAATCCCAACACTCAGAGGCTGAGGCAGGAGGATCGTTGCCAAGTTCCAGAGCAGTCTGAACTACATAGTAAGACGTTGACTCAAAAAACCAAAACCAAAACAAAACAAAACCAACCCCCAAAATCAGTCTTTTCTATTTTCTCTTTATTATCATAGGACCATCATTACACAAGTTCTGGAGGCTTCACATTTAAAGTCTCAACTATGATCTACCACCAAATCCTATCAATTATATCTAATTCATCGTGTACTCATACCATTGCTTCTAGTTAAGGACTTCATTCAATACTGTATCTCCTTGCCAGGATTTAGCTCAGTGGTTCTGCCTTGCAAGCACAAGGTGCCAAGTTCGATCGCTGGTACCAAAAACAAAACAAAACTGTTTCTCCTACGCGCATACAGTGGCATATTAGTGGGATCCCAGCACTCAGGAGGCTGAGGCAGGAGGATCATCTTAAATTCAAGGCCAGCCAGAACTACATAATGAGACCCTGCTTCAAAAACATACAAAAACCATGTCTACTACTTGTATTTTAGCTTCTAAATCTCTATCAGAAGGACATCTTATGTCATTTAGAAGAGCCTTTCTCACATTCCTGGCTTAGTCACTTCTATTATTTATAGAAATCTAAACTTTTAAGGCTTTGAGGTCTTACACTGCTTTATTCACATTTGCCCTCTAGCAAACTGTTTTCTTTAATCCCGTTCTCAGCCAAACAATCTGGTTACCACTCGCTAACTTGAAATGAAGACAGGGACTAGCTCTAAATACAAACACAGATTTAGACACACACACACACTTCAAGATAGTTATGTAGTTCAAGTAAAGAACTATTACATACTCTACCCAAGAATACATCATACTCTACATAAATTCTAACACCTTCAAAGACTTGCACACCAATCCACCAAAGTTCCTAAAGGAATCCCAATCGTGTTTATTCTTCATCATTTCCATTAACTCACCAGATAAATTTTATTTGCACTTACAGATTATAAAACAATACTAAAGTATCTATCATGGCTATTCACTCTTCTGATGATCTTTGCTCTCCTCCTCTATCCTGAAAACCTGTATAACTCACATCTGAGAAACACTGCTACCGGAGTGAAGGCAGATCTCCATCGGCAATTCTCAGTGAGGAAACCCCCCCCCCTCCAGGGATATCTGGTAGTCCGGTTTTTTGCTCACAATGGAGAGAGATGCACCTGGAATCTAGTAGGTAGATGCAAAGAGTGCTTCAAACCACAAATGTAAACAGACCTCCAGAAATAACTCTTCAAATATCAACAGGGCGTGGCGGCACACATGCTTGTAATCACAGCACTCAGGAGGCTGGGGCAGGAGGATCACTGAGAGTTCTAGGCCTAGTTGGGCTACACAGTGAATTCAAGAGCAACCCGATGTACATAGTGAGAGACCCTGTCTCAATCAATCAGTCAATCCATCAAAAGGGGTGAGGTTCAGAATATGTACAAAGTGGAATCAAGAATCCCAGCTCAAAGTTAGCTGTAAACTGTGTATCATCACATTTACAATACTACATGCAAATAAGTAAAACAAGACCACCAAGGTGGTGTCACGTTGCCCTAGGTGAAGCATTGTATTTGGTAACTGTTCTAACAGTTCAGTTAAAAAATTTAATACTCTACTACAGAAAATGTGAGTGCAAAACTTTCTAGGATACATTTGCTTTTAGACACAAAGTAGAAGGTAATCTGTTTAAAGTTCATATATGTAAAAATAAAAATAAAAAAATAAAGTACATATATATCCAATTCTGAACTGCCAAAGACCAGCCTCAGCCTAAAAGTAGCTCCAGACTGTTAACCTCTTAGCCTTGCATCTAAATATCTTAATAATTCTCTTTTAAAATGGCACAGAGAGAGGAGGGGGCTTGAGGGGAGGAATAGGATAATTTAAAATAAAATTTAAAAAAATAAAGTAAAATAGCATCTAATGTGAATCTGACACTTAGGAGTTCAAGTAATTTTTGATCAACATTCATTGAAGCACTGCAGTATTATATTTAATGTATCTGGATCATATCAAGAATTAAGGCTAAGACTGGTGTGGGAGGGCATGTTTATAATTCCAGTACACAGGAGGCTAAGGCAGGAAAATTGCTGCAAGTTTGAGGCCAGCCTGAACTACACAGCAAGAGTCTGTCTTTAAAACAAACCATAAATAACCCAAAGTGAGACAGTCTCAAAAAAAAAAGAAACAAAAAGTACATTAAGGCTAGCAAAAAAGCTCAGCTTTTAAGCCACTGAATTAATTTTAAGAGACAGCATTAGCCCCATCATCCAACAAAATGGCTGAAAAATCAACCTCAGTCTTAAACTATAAACTTGTACTTTCTCACCCATTACTTACTGCCACAATTCTCAACAAAGGATACTCTCTTCTAATTCCATAGTTAGTACTCAATTCAAACAATGCAAAGAAAGTAAGATGTAATTATTCCTATGTATTAAAACCAACAGCTGCCCGGTGTGGTGGCAAGCACCTGTAATCCTAGCTCCTGGGAAGATGAGGCAGGACTGACAAAAGGTCAGCCAGGATTCAAGGCCAACCAGAACTACACTGGGAGACCCTGTCTCAAAAAACGGGGGGATTTAGCTCAGTGGTTCCGCCGCCTGCCTCACAAGCACAAGGACCTGAATTTGATCCCCAGTACCAAACAAAACAAAACAAACAAAACAAAAAAACCCAGCATGTACAAAACTGTCTCTCAATTTCTACTACATTAAGACAAACAAGAAACATATTAATTTAATACAGGAAAGCAACTAATTAATAAAACTGGGCTCTTCAGTCCTAAAATTGCTGTAGAGTACCTACAGAAATCTGGCAGTGAACAGCTGCAGTAAATATACTACACAAAACTATACAGCCACAGCCACAGCCATAGCCAGGTGCGGTGGCGAAGCCTGTAATCTGGGAGGCTGAGGCAGGAAGATTATAATTTTGAGCCCAATCTGGGCAATTTAGCAATTTAGCAAGAACTCCTCTCAAAAAACAAAAGGGCTTGGGGTTGTTGCTCAGAAGGTTGTAATATATACACGGGCACAAAATCGCCACCTAAAAAAACCTCCTCAAAAATCAACAAAGTGATCTACCACTGAATTGAAAAACCAAGCGACCTACTTCAATCCACGCACCAAAAATGTAAAAAATGTAAAAAAAAAGCTCAGGGAGCGGCTTGGAGGCAATTTACCTGGTAACCGGTAGAGGCCACAACTCTGGTAACAGGACAGAAGCATGAAGTCTTGGCACCACCGAACACCAATACGAAAGGCTTAACAAATCCACCCCGCCTTCTCTTCCCAACAAGCAAAAAAACACTGCGGCGTGGACAGGAGAGGTCTCCAGACACACACTTAAAAAGAGTAAGGTGAAAAATGCTAGTCACGGTATTCGGAGCTGACTGCATAGGTTTTAACCAACTCAGGTATTACGACGTAAACAGACTCCACTTTCTCAGATTTTTTTTAAAAAAACAAGAACTATAATCTTCATTCTGTACTTTTTTTGTCCTGGGGATCAAATTCATTTTCGTACTTTTTGAAGATATAATTCTCATCTAAGACTCCTAGTAGTATTTAACACTACTTTCAACTTTTAAAAAAAAACCCCAAGCAATTAGCAAAATGTAACACTAATTTATTACAAAAACTCACACTATGTGGCAAAATAAATTTATTCTATAAATTTGTGGTGCCATAAACTTGATATAATTTTTCACTTAAAAAGTAAATTTATTGTCACATAAGCTTTGCCCCACAAGCTTGTGAAACGAGGTTTAAACAAACCAAGGTACAGGAACACAATATAAGGCTGAATTGAAGTCGGTATTTTTAGCTAAAGGACATCTGGCCAAAAAGAATATCCCCCTGTTCTCCCTCATTATTTTTCAAAGGAAAACGCGCAATCTCTAATTCTTGCTCTCTACACTCCAGCAGCTTTCCTTTCCCCCATTTTGGTTTTTGAGACAGCGGTCCAGATGGGCCGTGAACTCCTCAAACAGATCCTCCTGCCTCAGCCTCCCAAGTGCTAAGACTACAGGCACGTGCCACCTTGCCCAGCTCATCTTCGCGGATTTAAACTTTGTCTAGAATATAATCAGGAATGCTTTATTCTTGTGTTCTTTGTATCCAGAACACGAAGAGTGGAAAAAAGACTGACAACTTGTGTTTGTTCCATTACGTAATAACCTCCCGAAATGCAGCAAAAAGTAACGCAAAGCACGGGAGCAAGTGGGTGGCGGCCTGACATAAGTACGAAAAATCATCCTCTCAGACCCCGACATCCTGTCGGTTCACTCAGCTCCTCCGTGAGTACTGCAGCCGCCGGCTGCCTCAAGGTGAAAGAATTCTCCCCGACGCC